CAACCGAATAACTACGGAATGCCGTTAGGGCCATCGCCTATGAATGTGTTGATCTGGAACGCGATAGTCGATAGTACGATGGTGGAAACGCGAAATCACGAATCTACGATGATGAAAACGCGAAATTACGATGATGAAAACGCGATAGTACGATGATGAAAACGCGACAGTACGATACTACGATGATGAAAACGCGATAAACTATCGTGTTTTCACCATCGCACTGTCGCGTTTTCACCATCGTAGTTTCGTGATTTCGCGTTTTCATCATCGTATTGTCGAGTATCGCGTTTCAGATCAAACCATTCATAGGCGATGGCCCTAACGGCATTCCGGAATGCCGTTAGGGCCATCGCCTATGAATGTGTTGATCTGAAACGCGATAGTCGATAGTACGATGGTGAAAACGCGAAATCACGAAACTACGATGATGAAAACGCGATAGTACGATGATGAAAACGCGATAGTACGATGATGAAAACACGAGAGTACGATGGTGAAAACGCGATAGTACGATGAAGAAAACACGACAGTACGATGATGAAAACGCGATAGTACGATGGTGAAAACGCGAAAGTACGATGATGAAAACACGACAGTACGATGATGAAAACGCGAAATCACGAAACTACGATGGTGAAAACGCGACAGTACGATGGTGAAAACACGACATTACGATGGTGAAAACGCGATAGTACGATGATGAAAACACGACAGTACGATGATAAAAAAGCGATAGTACGATGGTGAAAACGCAAAAGTACAATGATGAAAACACGACAGTACGATGATGAAAACGCGAAATCACGAAACTACGATTGTGAAAACGCGACAGTACGATGGTGAAAACACGATAGTTTATCGCGTTTTCATCATCGTAGTATCGTACTGTCGCGTTTTCATCATCGTACTATCGCGTTTTCATCATCGTAATTTCGCGTTTTCACCATCGTAGTTTCGTGATTTCGCGTTTTCACCATCGTACTATCGACTATCGCGTTTCAGATCAACACATTCATAGGCGATGGCCCTAACGGTATTCCGTAAATAACGACTAATTTACTCTTGAGCTAGCAATCGGAATCCCGACCATTCAACCTTTCAGTTTCATCCAATAACAAGGAGGAAATCATTTAGGGTATGACCATAACCCCATGCTATAATCATAAGTTATTGTTAATAAATGTGTAAGCAAAAGTTATTTGGAAAGTCAGTTTAGGATGATTACCTATAATTTCAATAACTGTAAAATTTTGAAAAGGTCACCAACTTCAGAAAAAAATATAAAAGAAAGAAAAAAATGTGATCTCAAAGTGATTTTTTCTTTTTATTTATCCTTTAGATAACAAGAATTGTCTTTAAAACTTCATTAAATGCCGTTTTAGTGTTAAAATAACATTTCTACAACATTAAAATTATGGCCGCCAGGCAGCCAGGCCGCTGGTCCGCCAACTTCACAAAAATGACAAAATAAAAAAGTTCTCTGAAAGTGCTTTTTTATTTTGATATATCCTTTAAAAAACAATAATTATCTTTAAAACTTCATTAAATGCCGTTTTATTGTTAAAATAAGATTTCTACAACATTAAAATTTTTGGCCGCCAGGCCGCTGGGTGCCAACTTCACAAAAATGAGAAAATAAAAAAGTTCTCTGAAAGTGCTTTTTTCTTTTGATATATTCTTTAAATAACAATACTTATCTTTAAAACTTCATTAAATGCCGTTTTATTGTTAAAATAACATTTTTACAACATTAAAATTTTTGGCCGCCAGGCCGCTGGGCCGCCAACTTCACAAAAATGAACAAATAAAAAAATTCTCTGAAAGTGATTTTTTTCTTTTGATATATCCTTTAAATAACAATAATTATCTTTAAAACTTCATTAAATGCAGTTTTTAGTGTTAAAATAACTTTTCTACAACATTAAAATTTTTGGCCGCCAGGCTGCTGGGCCGCCAACTTCACAAAAATGACAAAATAAAAAAGTTCTCTGAAAGTGCTTTTTACTTTTGATATATCCTTTAAATAACAATAATTATCTTTAAAACTTCATTAAATGCCGCTTTATTGTTAAAATAACATTTCTACAACATTAAAATGTTTGACCGCCAGGCCGCTGGGCCGCCAACTTCACAAAAATGACACAATAAGAAAGTTCTCTGAAAGTGATTTTTTCTTTTGATATATCCTTTAAATAACAATAATTATCTTTAAAACTTCATTTAATGCCGTTTAGTGTTAAAATAAGATTTCTACAACATTAAAATTTTGGCCGCCAGGCCGCTGGGCCGCCAACTTAATAACTTAAATATCTTTAAAACTTCATTAAATGCCGTTTTAGTGCCGTCAGGCCGCTGGGCTGGCAGGCCGCCAACTTCACAAAAATGAGAAAATAAAAAAGTTTTTCTTTTTATATATCCTTTAAATAACAAAAATTATCTTTAAAACTTCATTTAATGCCGTTTTAGTGTTAAAATAACATTTCAACAACATAAAATTTTTCGGCCGCCAGGCCGCTGGGCCGCCAACTTCACGCCGCCATGCCGCTGGGCCGCCACTTCACACATCTAAATACATGATTAATTTTCATCTTGTGGCATGAAAATTATCACAATTCACTCGTAGCTACCCCACTCATCAAATATTTATTCTCATACCATTTGATGAAAATAAATCGTGTATTGACAGAAAAAACTTGAATATCCCCTATATATTTTTAACATCTTTTGTATATTTGTCCTACAGTTTATCTTGTATGTAAGAATGTATTTTTTATGTGTTTAGGTTTTAGGACCACAATGGAGCTCCTTTTATTAAATACCTTAACAAACTTATATATTATAAACCGTTTTTTAACGTTAGGGTCCCAGCTTCTTTCAATATTTCATCTTGATACCACTTCCAATTGTTCTTGCGTCTTAATGGCCGAATGACGAATAAAAACTGTTTTGCGCATTCACATGATGGTGTGCGAGCCACGTTAACTTTTTGGTCTTTCCGAATATCCAGGCGGGGAACAATAGTTTCATATAAATACATAGCAAATTAAATCGTGTGACTGAAAAGAGATCGGAAAATGTTTTGCTGGCGTCTTTAACGGATTTGTTTGGGTGAGAATCAATCAGTGGTTAAACATACAAGATTGTCCCCGAGCGCTCAAGATTCATGGTCGAGTGATTTTCCATGCACTTTACTGTTAGCTACATTTGCGTGAAGTTTGTGAGAGGGACGTGACGGAAACAAAAGTATGGCAGGTTTGGAATTGTTTCTTTTATTTTAGGACGTCGAAGATCTTAGAATCAATCAAAAATGTAAGTTATTTTATATTTTATTTACAAAAACTATATACCCGAATTATTACACATGAAAATCGGGAAAGCGTTACTGTTTTTTTAAGGAAAAAATGTAAATATTTCACAGAAAATCCGGGAAATGTTATTGTATCACATAAATTTGAATGTAAATTATCAAATATTTTTCGTAGGTACAATTTGTTTGACACAAAGTTAAATTTTCCATGAATAAGGACTTTAATTATAAATTAGCATTAATCATAAGGATTATACATGTTAAACTTTTATTTTTTCATGTGACGTTTCGATCATAGTTATTTTTGACCATTATGATAATTGGCTTATGATATAAAACAAAATACAGATATGAATAATTGATAGTTGGCATATGAGGTCTAACAAAGTATTGACACGGATGATTGACGTGTGATATGTAAAAATGATGGCCATGTTGATGACAATGTTGTTTTGATGAGGACGTCCATGGGTGTTACAATGATGATGAAATGACGTTCATCAGGTAAATTTAGTTATTTATAGAAACGAGCTTTTTTTAGAAACTAGTTATTTTTAGACAAATGAGTTTTAACTTTTCTTAGTAAGTTTTATCAGTTTCAGAAGATGAAATTTCAAAAGGAAACAATGAACTTGCAAGTAATCATACTATATCGGGCCATGCTTGTGGAACAAGGACAGCACACATTATGCAACATTAAAGCAGCATACTTATTTAATTCAATTTACATTTGGAAAATTTGACATTATAAGAAATTTGATATACATATAAAACATGTAAATGGTTTTATGACAGTAAGTGAAACTGCGTAGAATAACACAATTTTATTTTAGAAATGAAGATTCTTTGTCAAAATTGAAAACTATGTTTTATGTTTATGTATATTGACGATATTTTGTGTGCATTGTTTATATCGATTTTGGTTGTTTTGGTTTCTTTCTCAATTTTTAGCTCGACTATTCGATAAGAATAAGTAGAGCAAATTGAGTCACCCGAGCGTCGGCGTCGGCGTCGGCGTAACCACTTATGTTAAAGTTTTTGTAATAGTTCAAATATTTTCAAAGTCCATTAACATATGGCTTTGAAACTTTGCACACTTGTTCACCATCATGACCCCAACCTGTAGACAGGAGGAGGGAACTGTATCAAGCATTTTGACAGAATTATGCTCCTTTTTCGACTTAGAATTTACGTTAAAGTTTTTGTAATACGTCAAATATTTTCAAGTCCATTGATATATCGCTTTGAAACTTAGGACACTTGTTCACCATCATGACCCCATTCTGTAGACAGGAGGGGGTAACTCTATCAAGCACTTTGACAGAATTATGCCCCTTTTTCGACTTAGAATTTACCTAAAAGTTTCTGTAATACCTCAAATATTTTCAAAGTCCATGGACACATGGCTTGAAACTTTGCACACTTGTTAACCATCATCACCCCAACCTGTAAACTGGAGGAGGTAACTGTATCAAGCATTTTGTATTTACTATCAAGCACTAAGAATAGTCGAGCGTTGCTGTCCTACCGACAGCTCTTGTTTGGAGTTGGTGTGTGATTGTTTTTTTTTATTTGGGTTCGGTGTTTTAGTTTGCCTCTTTTTGGGAGTTGTTTATGTGTGTTATGGTAGTTTTACTTTTTCTTTGTTGGAGTTGTTGATGTCATTTGTGTGTTATGGTTGTTTTTCTTTGTCGAAAATTCTGGCCTTTTTTCTGAATAGTTTGGGAATTGGAGGTCGATTAGACAGTTGATTCTTTGCTGATACATTGTGATTGATTTGAAAATTTTGGATTTTGGATTTTGTTAAACATGTACATGTACTAGTCGAATTATTATTATTCATCATTTCAAATAGTTATATCAATTTCATTAGAAATGGGAGACACATTTACAGTTATATTGAATTTTTAGCTGTACAATACCCAATTTTGTATAATTATATTGATATTTAATAGTAATGTGATATTTTTGATAATTATATAAATACATAGGTGGAGAATGCGACAATATATTAAAGATAACATTGATTCTTTTAGATTTAGAACGTGACATTTCTAATAATGATATTCGGGTGTTGAATGCGACATTTTTAACAATTATATATACTGATTGTTTTAGATGCAGAGTGCGACATTTTAGACTAGTATAATATTATTGTTCTTTGGTTTTTCGTTTGTTTTCAGATGACGTAAGAAAACATCACTGGATTACTTTTGAAAGACAAAACTAGATAAAATTGTATATTTCTAAATATTACCACTATATAATTCATACTATTGCAAAAAATGTTTATTGATCATTTAGCAGACGTAAAGCAGGAAATGGCGGGAAGAATCCTAGCAGACGACAGTTGTCGCGCAGATGCAATCATGCACCATATCAGACTGCCCGAAATTACAGGCTGGCCCAGCTCTATACTGGACTCGCTTTCAGCATGTTAGGGTTTGAAAAAGGAAATCATAACTTTGTAACGTATGTCTTGTCTACTTTTTGAAAAATAAACTTTCGTGTCAATGTAATAATTATGTTGACATATCATTATTGTCTAATGTTTCATAATGAACCATTTTTAGCCCAACTGTTTGAAAAACGAGTAAGGGCTATTTTAGTCACTTGGTCGTCTGTTCTCGTAAAACACTTCGTTTTGCATATGATTTTGTGTAACTTCCTACCTCAGAATTCATTATGATTGTGTAACGGGGAACATAATCTAAACACCTTTAACTTTAAACTAGATTTTGATTTATATAATTACATGTATGCCACTTAGTCAACATGATTTAAAGCAGCCAAGTTTAAAATAATAATTTAAGTTTACTATATATTCTTATCAAATGAGCATAATAATGCTGAGTTATGGGTCATTAAGAACATTTCAGTAATTTAAACAAATAACTTACAATTATTTTTAAAATGCTAAAAAATGTAACATTTGTTACCATAGTGTATCCACAGGTAGCAGCCGACAATAAATGTTAAAGTGGAAAATTGCGACTTCCGGTGTGTCTGCTACTCGATGTTGTGATCTCAGTTACTTCCCCTGACGTTCAGTATATGAAATGAGGGTCGAGGTAAGTAAAGATATTTTGAAGAAATACAAAATTTAGCTAAACATAGAACAATTCATTTTATAGATAAGGGTTTGTGAGTCGCTTATAACACCTTTGACCCTGCAAACTATTTTAAATGGACTTGCCCATCTTCAAATCTGGACAAAACCATTACTCATTTTAAGGGAAAATTTCAAAATATGTACTGACTTAATATCGAATAGTGCAGATCATGAGCCGATGTCAAGTATATGCCGACTGGTTTTGGTCGGCACTGGTGGCACGGGTACATGTATATTATGCGGGCACTAGAAGGCTGATAGTTAATCAACATATTGTACAACACAAAATAATCAGAAAGTACTGATTACAGTTCATTAATAATTACAACTTTAAATTTGGTACAATGTTTGTATTTTAAAAGCATGTTAATTTCAGATGGACCATGACTTTTTGTAATTATTGTTGCTTTTCTAGAAAAAAAATGAACTGAACATGATATAAAGAACTGTTCTTTCCGATTTAAGTATTAATATATACCAAAATATATATACTGTATAACCAAATTCACGAATAGGTAAAAGATATCGGCACTACTTAAGTGATTGTGCCGAAGGAAGAGAGATATTATAATTATACTATAAAACATCATAATTATTTCTAATGCATAATGTGTATTTTGTAATGATCTGGTGACTTTGATTGTGACACTCCGATAACATCTTAATTTTCAATCTATAAATAGATAAAAAAAATTAACCTATATTTCAGTTTCAGGATTTGAAATTAAGAAAGAACGAAAGATATGAAATGAGCACCGGCAAACTGATCTTGGCATGTTACATCCTTATCACAGAACTGGAACCTACTGATTATGATGAGGTAAAAGTATATTTTATGAATATATGTATAGATTTGTTTCTTAGCCTGCTGAAAGCGAAAGTCATTAGTCTTTGCCTCCAGAATAGAGCCCGGCCAGCCTGCACATTTGTGCAGTTTGACCAGCCTCTTTACTGTTTGCTAACTTCCAATTTTCATTTTCATGTGATAATTAGTTATAATAATTTATAATGGACTGTTCCTTAAATAAAATATTGAAAAGTCCATTTAATAATTTCCGCAGGTTAAAGCAGCATGCCTCCAGATTCATGCCCATTCTTCGTGTAAATTTTGAAAATGTATCGAAAAAAAAAAAGAAAAATATAGTGCAGTGAACAAGGAAAGAAATTTACACATTACAAACATAAAATATATTTGCATTACCAAAAAAGGCCAAAATATACACTAATAGCCATTGCGTTAGTCACGCAGTAGAAATATGGTAATAAGAACTACGTCTTCGGTCGTTAAAGACATTTAGCACATAAATAATTGTTTGAATCTTAAATCTTTTTACTTCTCTTAAAATCTGAGTACATTTTTTGTGCCCCCACGTTAGTGGCGGGCATTTAGATTTACCCTTGTCCGTCCGCCCGTCCGTCCGTCCTTCCGTCCGTTCACTTTTGTGTCGCACGTAACTCAAAAAGTATTTGACTGAGAGTCATGAAACTTTACAGGAATGTTGATCAGCATGTGTAGTTGTGCACCTGGGTATTTTCGTCTGGATATTTTTAGTATTTTCAGAGTTATTGCCCTTGACTTAGTAAAATTTTGCAATTTTCAACTTGTGTCGCACGTAACTCAAAAAGTATTTGACCTACAGTCATGAAACTTTACAGGAATGTTGATCAGCATGGGTAGTTGTGCACCTGGGTATTTTCGTATGGATATTTTTAGTATTTTTAGAGTTATTGCCCTTGATTTAGTAAAATATGGCAATTTTCAACTTGTGTCGCACGTAACTCAAAAAGTATTTGACCTAGAGTCATGAAACTTTACAGGAATGTTGATCAGCATGTGTAGTTGTGCACCTGGGTATTTTCGTCTGGATATTTTTTGGCATTTTCAGAGTTATTGCCCTTGACTTAGAAAATTTTGCAATTTTCAACTTGTGTCGCATGTAACTCAAAAAGTATTTGACCTAGAGTCATGAAACTTTACAGGAATGTTGATCAGCATGTGTAGTTGTGCACCTGGGTATTTTCGTCTGGATATTTTTTGGCATTTTCAGAGTTATTGCCCTTGACTTAGAAAATTTTGCAATTTTCAACTTGTGTCGCATGTAACTCAAAAAGTATTTGACCTAGAGTCATGAAACTTTACAGGAATGTTGATCAGCATGTGTAGTTGTGCACCTGGGTATTTTCGTCTGGATATTTTTAGTATTTTCAGAGTTATTGCCTTTGACTTAGTTAAATTTGTGCAATTTTCAACTTGTGTCGCACGTAACTCAAAAAGTATTTGACCTAGAGTCATGAAACTTTACAGGAATGTTGATCAGCATGTGTACTTGTGCACCTGGGTATCTTCTTTTGGATATTATTAATATTTTCAGAGTTATTGCCCTTGAGTTAGTAAAATATGGCAATTTTCAACATGTGTCGCACGTAACTCAAAAAGTATTTGACCTAGAGTCATGAAACTTTACAGGAATGTTGATCAGCATGTGTAGTTGTGCACCTGGGTATTTTCATCTGGATATTTTTAGTATTTTCAGAGTTATTGCCCTTGAGTTAGTAAAATATGGCAATTTTCAACATGTGTCACACGTAACTCAAAAAGTATTTGACCTACAGTCATGTAACTTTACAGGAATATTGATCAGCATGTGCAGTTGTGTACCAGGTATTTTCGTCTGGATTTATTTAGTATTTTCAGAGTTATTGCCCTTCACTTAGAAATTTTTTGCAATTTTCAACTTAAGTCGCAGGTTTCTCTAAAAGGATTTGACATAGTCATTAAACCTTATGGGCAGGTTGCTCAGCATATTTTAGATTTGCACCCGGGGTTTCGCTTGTGGATTTATCCAGTATTTGTAGAGTTATTTCCTTTGACTTAGTAAAAAGATTGAAAGAACAGTGGCGCAGTGGGGGCACCCGTGTCCTATGGACACATTTCTAGTCTTAAGTTTGTTTTTCTTGAGATATTTTTATTCATCTGGAGGCATGCAGCTTTAAGGCTTGTTTATAGCTCTTGAATGAGACGTGTATTCATTTGGTTCTGAAACAGTACGGCATTGTGAAAATTGTTTCTTGTTCGGGTTTGATAAAAAAAAAAAAAATTCTTTTTTTAACACAGAAGCAGTTACCATTGTTGTCGTTATTCAGTCATGAATTGCTTTGGCTAAGTAAAAACATATACACATACACTGGTATCGAACATGTTTCTTCATTATTCAAATTTGATAAAACTTTTGCAAGTTTAAGGTATAATAAAGGGCGTCCGTTACCGATTGGTTGAATGAATTTATTGACTTTAAATCATTTTCACCCCACCCCCTTTCCCTCACTTTTATGAACAGCGACTTTGAATTCATGAATAGTTTCATGTGCAGAGTTTCCCCACGCTATTTAATTGGGAAGAGAAATTGGGGGTTCTATCGAGTCCCCCCCGTGTTTAAAAAATTTATGAGCTGTTTTGCCCTTTTTCCCCAAAAAACAAAAATTTATCTTTGTACCGTCGAGCCCAGAACTTTAAACCACTAAATTTGGGTAAGGGATCTGCCCGCATAGAATTTAAAAACAGTCCATTTGAAGTTATGGGTTTTCCAATGACAAATAAAAATTTGGCAGACGATAAAAATAGCCTGGGCCGGTGCAAGTACCAATAGGGAAAAAGGGTTAAAAATAACCAGAATAAAGAACCATTTTCAGTTAAGAAAAATTTCTAGAATAATAAGGAAAACTTTAAGAATTTAATGAAAGGCCCCTATTTGAGTAAGGTAATTATTTGTTTTTTATTCCCGAATTCTATTTTCTGCTTTTTTTTAAAGAGTAATGATAACATTGTTGTCGTTGTTTTAAATTTGATGGTTCAACCCGTGTGTCTGCTGTCTTTTGCAAGTGAAACACAAAGTGATACAAGTGATATGAATGTTTTATACATTATACAAGTTAAATGTTGATGCTGCACATCAAAGACGCCGCCAAATTATGTGAACAGTCAGTCAGCATTGAAAATCGTTCTCTATTACAGTTGAATATCCGAAGCACAACTCAATTTTTTTTTCTCCATGTTCTTGGTATGTGCTCGATGTTCAATAATTAAATTGCATATTTTTGTGAAAAAGTCGAACCTAATGCATAAATTCACAAGGTAATGTCTGAAAATCTGAAATGTTTGTCTGTTGCGACAAAGATTGAAGCGTCTGGTCAAAGCAAAATAAATCTTTGTTCATTTTTTCTGAAGAGTTATTTCTTAAACAGTTTGTTTGCTGGTATTAAGGTGTGCAGCTTTAAAAGAAGGCCCATTATGCCCCCAAAAATGTTTTTATTTTTATGCCCTCACAGATTGGGAGCATATAGCGTTGCACTTGTCCGTCCGTCCGTCCATCCGTACGTCTGTTCGTCCGTCCGTACGTCCCGAAATCTTGTGAACGCAACTCCTCTTAAACCGAATGGCAGATTTTGCTTAAACTTCTAGGGATGAACAACCTTATTGTGTAGATGGTAGTAAAGGAAGGAATTTTTGCTGCGACCAAATTTAACAGAATTATGGCCCTTTGTTGATTTTTCACTATATACCATGTTAAAATTTTGTGAACGCAACTCCTCTTAAACCGGATGGCAGATTTTGCTTAAACTTCCAGGGATGAAAAACCTTAATGTGTAGATGATAGTAAAGGAAGGAATTTTTGCTGCGACCAAATGAAACAAAAATATGGCCCTTTATTGACTTTTCACTATATACTTTATAGAAATTTTGTGAACACAACTCCTCTTAAACTGGATGGCAGATTTTGCTTAAACTTTCAAGGATGAACAACCGTAATGTGTAGATGGTAGTAAAGGAAGGAATTTTTGCTGCGACCAAATTTAATAGAATTATGGCCCTTTGTTGATTTTTTCACTATATACCATATAGAAATTTTGTTAACACAACTCCTCTTAAACCGGATGGCAGATTTTGCTTAAACTTCCAGGGATGAACAACCCTAATGTGTATATGGTAGTAAAGGGAGGATTTTTTGCTGTGACCAAATTTAACAGAATTAGGCCATTTGTTGATTTTTTCACTATATACCATTTAGAAATTTTGTGAATGCATCTCCTCTTAAACCGGATGGCAGATTTTGCTTAAACTTCCAGGGATGAACAACCTTAATGTGTAGATGGTAGCAAAGGAAGGAATTTTTGCTGCGACCAAATATAATAGAATAATGGCTCTTTTGTTGATTTTTTCACTATATACCATATATATGTTGTCAGTGGGGGCATCCGTGTTATATCTGAAAAGCTTTTTATTTTTGGTATCCTATTATAGTTTCAAAACAGGTATTCATTGGTCATTTATATAAATAATCTTTT